CGCACCACCTGTTTGTTTTCAGGATGCGTATTATCCGTTGGTGGACTACATGGAACACCCTTCCCCAGGCGCATCAATTTCGCATGTCCCGTGGTGGTTTGAACATGTGTTTGAATTGCCCATCGCAATTCGACCACATCGGTTTGCTTTCTTGCTGGTGTGGTGACCGGGCAGATGGAACGTGATGGCGACCGTGCTTGTGAAGGGGTGACGGCGATTGTGATGCTGTCGGTGGCGATGGTAACGAAATTGGTGATGATGGCGATGAGGACCACGATGGTAGTGATGATGGTCGCGATGATCCTGCTAATGGTGATGATGAGGACAGTGACGATGACGGTGATGATGATTATGATGATGGTGATGATGCTAATGCTTGTAACGATTATGATGAAGGTGGTGCTGATCATGATGGTCGTGGTGGTGGTGGAGATGGTACTGATGATGTCGATGATGTTGGCGCCGACGGCGACGGCGACCGACGACGACGGTGGCGACTAAAATGATGATGCTGATGATGATGGCGATGACCTTGACGGAGGGGATGGTGATGATGTATCAACATCATGTTAATGGTCATGATGATGTTGATGATGATGTTTATGATCATGATGATGCTGGCAATGATGATGATGATGACAATGATGATGATGCTGATGATGATGGTGATGGTGATGGTGTTGATGACGATGGCGATGATGCTGCATCTGGTGATGCTGTTGATTGTGACGATGGCGCTGACGATGACGATGACGATGATGAGACTGCTGATGATGATGTTGACAATGAAGGTGATGCTGGTGGTGACCATGACGATGAGGATGATGGTGATTGTGCGTATGATGCTGCTGACGGTGAAGATGAGTATGATGCTGGTGTTGATGGTGATGATGATGATGATGATGACGATGATGATGTGATGATGGTGCTGATGATGACGACGACGATGACGATAGTGGTGCTGATGATGGTGATGATGATGTTATTGCTGATTCTGACGATAGTGAACATGATGATGATGATGATGATGATGATGATGATGATGACGGTGCTGCAACTGTCGAGGGTGTTGGTGACGACGACGACCGACGACGATGCCGAATTTTCTGATGATGATGCTGATGATGCTGATGACCTCTTACAGAGACGGTGATGATGATGATTCTGACGATGATGGCGACGATGGTGACGACGATTGGATGTTGCTGATGCTGATGCCGATGATGGTGATGGCTTTCATGACGATTATGACGATGTCGTTCATTATGGCAATGACGTTTACTGCGACGTTGGCGATGCCAATGATGAAGGCGATGATGATGCTGATGATGAGAATACTGATGATGCTGATACTGCTGCTGGTGATGGGAATGATGATTCTGGCGATGGTGGTGATGCTGATGTTGACGATGATGATGATCAAGCCCATGATGGTAATGCTGATGGTGATGATGATGTTGATGATGATGATGTTGATGATGATGATGATGATACTGAGCATGCTGATTGCGATGATGCTTCAGATGGTGATGGCGACGATGATGATGCTGATGATGGTGATGCTGCTGATGACGATGATGTTGCTGATACTGACATTGATGGCACTACCAATGATGCTGCTGTCGGTTATGTTGACGACGACGACGACGACGACGGCGATTCTGATGATGCTGATAATGATGACTATGACCGTGATGGATACCATGATGCTGATGATGATGATGATGATGATGATGATGATGATGATGATGCTGACGACGATGGTGATGACGTTGTTTGTGATGCTGATGCTGCTGATGCTGATGATGACGGCGATGGTGGTGATGGTGTTGATGGCGAGTTGGATGATGATGCTGATTATGGCGGTGATGCTGTTTGCGACGATCGCGATGGCGATGGCGATGCTAATGTTTCTTATGATGATGACGCTGACTATGAGAGTGATGATGGTGGTGGTGACGATGCTGATGTTTACGATGGTAATGCTGATGATGATGTTGATGATGCTGATGATGATGGTACGGATGCTGATGATAGTGCCAATGCTGTTTGTTGATGATGATGATGATGACGATGATAATGAGGTTGATGATGCTGCTGCTGATTGCGATGCTGATGATGACGATGATATTGATGATGACGATGATATTGATGATGATGCTGATGGTTATGTTGATGATGATGCTGCTGATGATGCCGATGATGCTGATGCTGATTATGCTTATTATTATGATGATGGTGGCCATCAGGGTGATGCTCATCATCCCACTGGGTTGATGGTGGGTGGTGATCGTGATGAGGGGAGGGCTCTCGGACGTGGAGGAGGAGGGGGAGCAGCGGAGAGCAGGGACAACGACGTGTGAGCAGGCGGAGGATGAGGGTATGCTGGAGGCGCCATGTGACTGTCGCGAGGCATGGCATCGGGCCTGCATGTGTCCACGACGTGCGAAGGGCTCACGCCGTCGAGGGACGAGGGTGAGGTGGTGTGAGTGATGCGGGTGGGTTGGACCAGGCACAGGACACGGCTGACATACTTTTTTGGTCTGCAGGGCGAGAGCGAGCCTCTTCCGCCAAGAGCTCCGCGGGGCGCGCGCGGCTTGGACTGACAGAGAGGGGGGGGCGAGGGCGAGCGGGGCCTCACGCGGCCGGGAGCGGGCGGAGCCCGGGGATCAGGCGGTGCCGAACGGGATGTGCAGGAAAAGGTACGCCTTGGACAGGAGCCCGGCGGTGAAGTCCCGGAAGGAAAAGGGGGCTGTGGTGTAGCCGTCAGCCGGCTGAAACACGCATGGTCGTGCATCTATGCCGCTGGTGCTCTGGAGACGGAGCGCGGCTTTTCCTCCCCCATCTTCCACCGCCTCTTCGTCCTCTGTTTATTCAGTGGTTTCTGTTTCGGTTTGTCCTGCTATTCTAGACGTTTCGCGTAACCCCACCAGCCATCTACCTTGTCCGCACGACCTTTCGACGCCGCGCGGGTCTCCGCTCGCGGTCGCGATCAGAAAAGTAACCCCACCAGCCCAACCAGACACGCTGCCCAGGCGAGTTGCCTTGGCCAGGAATGTGGAGGAGAGCGCCGTGGACTAGAGGACTGGGTAACACGTTGTGCACCAAGAAGGGGGGATGAGGGAGGCATCGGAGGAAGAGCAGGAAGAGGAGTGCGGCGAGGGGGAGGGGGAGGAGGGATGAGGTAGGAGGACGAACAGGCGGACGAGGAAGATGAGGAGGAGAAGGAGGAGGAGGAGGAGGCGGAGGAGGGTGGGCAGAACGGCCAGAGGCATCTTGTCGGATTTCGGTAGAGAGTTGTTTGGTTTCTCTTGGGGCGTCTTGGGTGTCTCTTGGCAGTCCCTGGGGCCTCTTGGGGCGTATTGGGTGTCACTGGGTGGCCTCTTGGGGCCTCTCGGGGGTCTCTTGGGAGCCTCTAGGGGGCATCTTTGGGCATCGTTGGGGCCTTTTGGGGCCTCCTGGGCACCCCTTGGGGCCGTCTTGGGGCACCCTTGGGGGCATGGGTGGCCATTTTGGAGGTCATTTTGGAAGAAATTGATCACAGGAGGGGGATCCTTGCTCAGCCCCCCCCTAGGAGATCAGCATGCGGCCAAGCCTGTGTGACACAGCGATGTTTGGCCTTCTTGCCGAGCCTTCTTGGGGCGTCCTGGGTGCCTCCCTCCGAGGGGCCTCCTCGGGGGTCTCTTGGGAGCTTCTTGACGGTATCGTGGGGGCTTCTTGGGGCCTCTTGGGGCTTCCTGGGCATATCTTGGGGCGGTCTTGGGGCACCCTTGAAAGCCTTTGGGGCCATCTTGGAGGGGCCGACCAAAGAAGGGGGCTCCTTAGTTAACCCCCCCGGAGGCCAACATGTGGCCACCACCTTAGTCGCACTGCTGATGTTGGCGTTTCGCCAAGGCTTCTTCGGGCGTCTTGGCTGCCTCTGGGTGGCCTCTTGGGGCCCTCGTGGTAGATGGGAGCCCCTTGATGGCATCCTGGGGGCCTCCTGGGCACCCCATGGGAGCTTCGGAGGTATTTTTTTGGGGAGAGAGAGGTGAGGGAACGGTCGTATTCAATTACGCCCCTCCTCCCCCACCTCCCACCTCCCACGTACGAGGCGAACATGTACCCCAAGCCCTAGTGACATCAGTAATATTGGCTTTCTCGCCGAGGCCTTTTTGGACGCTCTAACCCCTCGCGTCCCCCCCCTCCAGGTCCAGGGGTATAGGGGTCGGGGGAGGGTAAAAGCCCTTCTCGAAGGGGAAGGAGGGGTGGAGGAGAAAACCCTCTAAACCACTCACATACTAAAGGGCTGCTGGGATAAAACGACATGTCATTCCTCACGTTGTCCTTGCCGGAGTCGTTTTCGTCGTTGTCTTCGCTTTCGTTGTTTTCGTCGTCGTCGTCCTTCTCACCCCCTCCATTTGCAAAGTCATACTAGCGTCGGAGTTCATCGTGCTCACCCCTCGTGCGTTCGGCCGGGATTTCTATTGAATGTGTGGAGGCGTCGCCAGAATAGAGGCTGTGAGTTGGTGCCTTGTTCGATTGATAAGGCGGCAGCTGCATGCGACTTCATGTAGGTGCTTCGAGGAATCAGTGGACTGGCAAGGCCTGGACGTTGCGAGGCTTCAAGGATGGGTGCAGGAGCACATGTCAGTGTCGATAGTGTGAAGACACCCAAACTTGGCGGCGAAATAAGGACCATTTCTTCTTTCGAGTGAGCTCTGTGCATCCTCGCCTCTTCGTTATCGCCCCAGTGCTCATCACAGACTAGTTTGTATTGTTAGAAGCACGCTTCCTTCCTGATTTTATATGCTTCGCTGATTCCCACCGTCCCGTCCAGTAACCAGGGTCGCTCCTCCTTCTGGTTTGGCCAGCTCTATTATGCTCTGGCCCCGTCTGATCCACTTTGGTCCCATCCCGTGTGTTGTAGTCTGGTCTGGACGGCTCTTGTGTAACGTAGTTTGGCCCGAATGACTCGTTGTGTCTGGTCGTGTGTAATGCAACACGATTTGGGTTCCCAGATGGTCACGGACGTCTTGCCATTCGCGGTGGGCAAACATAGTAAGTGCAGTTACTCAATTGGATTTTTCTTCCACCGTCCCCGCGCCAAAACACACCCCGCACGCACGCCGACACGCGCGCCACGGCATACCTGCGCGGCGTAACAACAACAGAGCATATTCCACATGCTTGGTGGACTGAAGCGACGCTTCCCGTTCTTGTCCGGTCAGGTTTTCCTTTCAAAATCCGCCTGCAGGGGGACATGCCCGACCTGAGTGTTGTTCCTGCTTTGGCCTCATCTTCCAGAGGGGGCCGCCTCCAGTCGTGGCCGGCCACGCGGGGGGGGATGACGGGGGGGGGGGGGGCGGATATCATGGCCGGGGCCACGGCATCTCCCCAGATCTCATGGCCCCATCTTCTGCTTTCAACGCGCCCCCCTGGCCCCCCTCCCTCCCCCCCCTTTGTCCGCGCACGCGCCTCGGACCGCGAGTTGTGCGAGCTCCCCTCCCGGCGGCGAGCGAGGGGGGGGGGGGAAGTGAGAAGGAAAGGAGAAGGCCTTCTCAGCAGGCGGCGGGCTCTCTGTGTCTTCGGGGAAGGGGGAGAGAGAGTTCTCGGAAGGCCGGGGGACCGCTTTGGGACTCCCCGGGCCCGCGTAAGGAGCGAAAGCAGGACGTACACGCACATGCATCCACTTGTGTGTTCGATCGTACGCGTTGCGCGAACGCTCGTTATCTCGAGGTTGGTCTCGCGTGCCTGGTTGGGCGCGTACACCTTAGGCGATGCTTAAGAAAACCTAAATTTTCGGCCAGAGTCTCGATTATTCTTAACGTTTCAATGTAAATCCTAAGATTTTGATAGACATGTTGGGTTTTTATCCAAGTTCTGAGACCATGAATTTCTTAACCCATGATTTCTTAACCATTTCGCGTGGTGTACGTCCTCTGTGAGCTCCCGACTCCAGGTCCGCCTCTACTCCATCGCGTCGTCGGCCTGCGGGGACGACGAGACCTCGAAGACGGTGTCCCTGTGCGTGAAGCGCGTGGTCGAGGCCGGCCGCCCCTGGCCGCCCCTGGAGGAGGAGGAGGAGGAGGAGGAGGAGGAGGAGGAGGAGGAGGAGGAGGAGGCGTGGCTCCCCTCCTCGTCGGCGTGGCTGCACCCCTCGGCGTCGGCGGCGTTCGGCCGAGGACCGCTCGGTGCGGGCAGGGCTCCCTCTCTCACTCGGCGGCGAGCGGAGGGGCTGGAAGCGAGAGGTGGCGGGCCCTCGGAAGCCCCCCCCGGCCTTCCCCCGAGAAGTTTTCTAAGCCTTCCCCGGGAATTCAGAGAGCCTCTCAGAAGGCCTCCCGCCTCCTTCTGAGGAGGCCTTCTCCTCATCGCTTCCCCCTCTCGCTCGCCGCCGATTCATCGCCGCGAGGGTGCCGTGGGCCTGCATGGTTAGAGCCTCGTCGGTCTTGAAATGCCTGGCAACGATGAGATGAAGGGTACCGCGAAGTGTTTGTCGAGACCCGACAGCACTCCACCCATCAAGTTGGCAGAGGCCTCAACAAAATTCGCGCGGCGTGCGGGCAAGATGTATATCAATGTCCACTGCGTCTTGGACTTTCTGGGAAGTGGCGCCAAAAGGCCGAGGCGCAGTGGATACGGATAAACATCTAGCCTCTAGGGGCCAGATTGTTACCCATATCCACTTCGCCTCGGGTGTTTGGGAAAAGGAGCCTGGCACTTCAAGATTGAGTGGATATGGATGTACATCTTGAACACATTATGGAGATTGTTTTGAATCCTAGGGCGCGTAACGGTCGTTACACGGGCCAAACCCTTCCCCCCCCACACGGTAACACGGCGGTGACGGTAATGATCGCACGTTGGTGGGGGGAGTTGCCCCCACCCCACGTGCTGGTGTTCGCGCGCATACTATGACTATGGCGATCGCAGCGCGGCCCCGCCCCGACGTGCCCCACCACGCCCAAGCGTTACTGCTACCCGCCCCCCTGGGTAACGACCGTTACCAGAAAGTAGAACAACACGATCTCAGGGAGAGGTTTCATGGACCGAGGGTCGTAATGATTGCAGTGGCGACGTTGACGATGAGTATTTTGGGTTTAGCAGGTGCGCTGGTTTTTGTGCCGTTCGCTTAGGTCTGGCCGTGGAATGTATTTAGACGCCGTCGACACGGGCTTTTGGCGCCCCCTGGCGATTCGACCAGTGTGTACCTTGCCTTTCCCCACCACCGTGTCTGTGAGGATCGCTCGTGCAGGTTATCCCTACCTGTCCCGACAAGCACCTCCACCGGAGTGGACTGACGGCGCAGCGCGTAACACAGAATCCCCTGGCATTTTGCCACAGGGCTGCACGATGCCCGAGCTTCCCTGGGCGTTGCAGTTCAGCCTGCCAGCCCCCCGCCGCCGCTGCCCCAGCTGCTGCTTTGTGAGCTGGCCCGGCCGGCTCGTGCTGCGCCCAGCAGCTAATTAGGTTTGCCCGTCGGCCCGGACACTCTTCTCGCCGCTTGCCCTCAGCTGCGCGGCCGCGACCAAAAAAGTACCCCCAGCAGCTGTGGGAGGACCGTGCCATTGCCTGGAACAACCGTAGCTGGAACGCCACGTGGCTGTGCCGCCGATGCCTCGTCCACGCATGGGACGTCAAGCCCAGCGTCGTTGACGGTATGCTCGACCGTGACACCCACCTGGACTACCCGCGCTCCCCAACTTCCAAGCCACGCTCCGCCCCGCCGGTGCCTGACGAACCGTCGCTGTCCATCGAGTTCGAACCCGACCGAGACTCTCCCACTAAACCTGTCCCGTTCAGCAAGAACGGCGGTGCCCTTGGCCTGTTCGCCCCGGACCAATACGGGAGAACCCCCACAACGCGCGGGGCCGTGGAAGTGCACCACCTCTTACCTCATGTGGACCCCCCCAAGGGCCCCGCACTGAAGTGCATCGACACTGATCACCTGGAGGCCGCCGAGGAGGCTGGACGGAACCGCCTGAACGCTAGGCCACTCGAGGTCAGGCTGGTCGACTTCCTACGCGTCCTGGGCCCAATCTTGGACGACCAGCGGAGGGACTACACCGCAGAACAGGGCAGAAACGTCAAAGGCTCCGAGGCTCCTGACAGTTGGGACCCGCCCCTGCTACGCCCCTTCCTGAAGAGGGTCTACGGCGACAGGTTTGCACCAAACGACTTCCCAAACGACTTTCACTGGCAAGGCAAGCGGCTCGCCGCCGCCCGTGTGATCACACACCTCTGCGTTTTCTCGACCGACCCCACCATGCGGCTCAAATGGTTTCTGCACGCCAATCATTGGTCCGTGCGCGGCCCCTCCCCTCTACGCCACACCCTGGAAGCCCTCGTGGGTTTCTTGACACAGGTCAGCTCCGATAAGCTCGCCGCCGGGTCCTTCCGGGAACTGGCCAAGGACGTCCCTTTCGCGTGCACGCAGGAGCTGTGCATGCAACTCGACAACACCCCTATCAGGGAACGCAGCGACAATGATTGGTGGACGCGGTTCAACGAGAAGCGGACAGAAGAGGCAGACCAACCGGCATAATCCCACACCTTTGCTGCCCGCGCACCCGAGCTTCCCGACTGGGGCAGCGATGTGCCCTCCCCCTCGACGCCAGTACGGAGTGGCACCAGCCCTCAGCTCTCGCCCCCCTGCGGACAGCCATCCACGACGAGCGAGCCCAACCGCCGACATACCTGGCACTGACGCAGTAGTCCCGAGCACCTCCCCCACGCAAGAGACCAACGTAGCTATCCCCCCCCTTGCCAGTGGGGACGGCGGCGCCGCCGCCCGCGGGGGCGCTGCCTCCGACACCTCGTTGGCTGGCTCCCACGACGACAAACCCGCCCCTTGCCGGGGCCGTCGCGAGGCACCCGTCGCCCTTTCCCCGACCCCGAGCTCGGAACCGCCAGTGCTACAGGTCGACTCCCCCGGCAGCCCCGAGGCGGTTGACAAGACCTGCAGCCCCACCTCATCCGCTGACGGTCCTCGCGCCTTCCCAGTGCTGGCTGGGCAAGACAACGGAAACCTCGCGCGCTTTTCCGAGCGCGGGGCCCCGCCATCCCCTAGCATCCCCCCGGCAACCCCGGGCAGCCAATGCGACGTGTGAGGAGTTTGACTGGGGCGATGGCTGGGGTGAGCGCCGCCCGCGCCGGCATCGTGAGGCCAGCCGCAGTGGGCCCTACAGCGGCCGCTGGACAGGATGGACAGGGTGGTCCAGCTGGGAGGCGGGCGACCGCTGGTGTCGGTCTGCGCGTGCCACCCCCCGTCCTCGACGACCTCCCTACTCCCCGGTCGGGCCCCTGGCCTTCCTGCGAACGCGCGCAAGCCGACCTCGCGCATGACCTAACCGACCCAGCCACCGGCCTCTACATCTACACGACCCCACTGGAGCGAATCGACATTATGAGCCCCATTTGCGAGACTCCGGCCGAGACCGTGAAGCGGCTGCAGAGGGATCTCGGTGAGCGCTTCAACGGAATATGGCACCAGTGGGCGACCAGGAATCCCACGCTGTCCGGCCACATCTGCGCTGACCCCGCGACGCAAGACCCCGAATCATGCCCGCGCTTCCTCGAAGATGCCATGTAGATGGGCGGCTCGCTTCGACTGGGGGTCTGCTGGGCTGCAGTCCGCACTCGGTTCATTGATCGGGCCGGGGCCAAGGGCACCCCTGGCCAGGCCAAAGGCAAGTGGCCCCGGGAGGACAGCGACCCCCGCTGGACGATGGCGGTGGAACCACGACGGGCCGCGGGCTCGCGCCAACCCTGGGCGCGCCCCTAAGTTCCTGCCCAGGCCGCGCAGGCGAACGCGCGCCACGACTCTCGCCTGGCCATGAACGCCCCGCACTGTGTATCAGCGTGCCTCGCGGAGCCCACTGCCTCCCCGACCGAGCGGGGCTGGTCGGCTCCTCCAGCCTACCCCCCCTCGTGCGCCAATGCCCCCTCGGGCGCGCCCAGCTGGGGCCGTCGGCTCGCCCCAGGCCTAGGGTTCCTACTGGGGCACCACTTTGCGGCCCCTCTCCCCCTGGATGACTGCCGCCCCCCTCCAGACACGCCGTAGGCGAACCCGGGTGTTGGCCCCCCTCCGGGCGGGCCGCCGACGTTGCTGGAGCCCTTGCGCTGCACATCGGTGCTTGGCTCTGCACATCGGTGCTTGGCTCTCATCGGCCGCCCGGCAACGAATGCCCGTGC